AATGTTTGAAACAATACCATGACCTTGTAAAACATTACAGTAAATTCATGTAACACATAGCAAAAATATAACAATAACGAAAATAAAACAAAAATATGTGCGTATAATAATCCTTTGCCATAGAAATATTCCTGTTGACATTTGCCTTTATAGCATTAAATATGGGGAGGAAGTATAGCAAGTGAATTTGACAAGGAAAATGTGGAAGCCTTATGCTCCCTTGTATCTGCTTGAGGCAAAAGAAGGGGCATCAGTTATTGGTTGGAATTATGTTATGAACCACCTAATGTTAATATTGATGAGGATGAACAGCTGTTGGGAAAGCTGCACATCTGGATAACAGGTTAATTATTGGAGATTTTAATTACCCTGGACATGGGATAGAGGAACTAGTTGTTAAGCAAGTGGAATCAGTTTTGTGAACCTGTTAAATGATACCTTCATGTCACAACAGGTATAAGCACCAACTACACTGAACAAAATTATAAACGCAACACTTGTTTTTGCCCCCATTTTTCATGAGCTGAACTCAAAGATTCAAGACTTTTTCTATGTACACAAAAGGCCTATTACATCCAACCGGCCTCACAACCGCAGACCACGTGTAACCACACCAGCCCAGGACCTCCACATCCAGCATCTTCACCTCCAAAATAGTCTCAGACCAGCCACCCGGACAGCTGCTGCAACAATCGGTTTGCATAACCAAAGAAATTCTGCACAAACTGTCAGAAACCATCTCAGGGATACTCATCTGCATGATCGTCGTCCTCATCGGGGTCTCGACCTGACTGCAGTTCATCGTCGTTACTGACTTGTCAGCATCTTACCTGGTTTGGGAGTCTGTCGCGCAGATATGTTGCTCACCCTTGCAAATAACCACAGGCCAAGGTGGTCAGGTAAGAATTCACCTGGCCTGTGGGTCTGTGCATGGGGGCTGTGCATGGGGGCTGTGAAGAATGAAGTTCCAAGTCGCAGTGCAGGCAAGGACTCAAACAGCAGGATTGTCAAGGGATAGCCACGGTCAAAGGATGCCAGAGGACAGGAACAACGAGGAGTAGCCTAAGTCAAGGGATGCCAGAGGTCAGAGTAAACGATGTCAGAAGCCGGGGTCAATATGAAGCCGAGTAACAATAGACAGGAACACTGGTACAGAACACACAACAGGATCAAAGACTTGACCCAGTTCACAGGGCGAGGCTGAGTTTATATACCCTGCTGATAACTGATCAGGGTCAGGTGAAGCACAGCTATTGTCACGGACCAGCCTCCACTGCTGCAGACAAGCCAGGAAGAACAGAACAGAAGTAGGAAGCAGGACCAGGACAGCAAAGTTCCCCAGTTCAAATCCCCTGTTGGGCACTCCTGGAACGACCACGTCAGGCTGCCTATATGTCGCGGTGAGGACTATGACATGACTTTGGTGGACAAATGCACTTTGGAGAGGTGTTCTCTTCACGGATGAATCCCGGTTTTCACTGTACAGGGCAGATGGCATACAGCGTTATGGCGTTGTGTGGGTAAGCGGTTTGTTGATGTCAACATTGTGGATTGAGTGTCCCATAGTGGCGGTATGTTATGGACAACAAACACAGGTGCATTTTATTCATGGCATTTTGAATGCACAGAGATACCGCGACGAGATCCTGAGGCCCATTGTTGTGCCATTCATCCACGACCATCACCTCATGTTGCAGCATGATAACGCACGGCCCCATGTTACAAGGATGTGTACATAATCTGAAAGCTGAATATATTCCAGTTCTTACATGGCCAGCATACTCACCGGACATGTCACCCATTGAGCATGTTAGGGATGCTCTGGATTGGCGTATGCGACAGCAACTTCACACAGCCATTGAAGAGGAGTGGACCAACAATGCACAGGCTACAATCAACAACCTGATCAACTCTATGCAAAGGAGATGTGTTGCACTGCATGAGGCAAAAGGTGGTCGAACCAGATACTGACTGGTTTTCATACCCCCCCAACCCCCTGCATACCCCAATACAGTAAAACTGCACGATTTAGAGTGGCCTTTTATTGTGGCCAGCTTAAGTAACACCTGTGCAATAATCATGCTGTCTAATAATCATCTTGATATGCCACACCTGTGAGGTGGATGGATTATCTCGGTAAAGGAGAAGTGCTCATTAACACAGATTTAGACAGATTTGTGAACAATATTTGAGAGAAATAGGCCTTTTGTGTACATAGAAAAAAGTCTTAGATCTCTGAGTTCATGAAAAATGGGGGCAAAAACAAAAGTGTTGATATTCTAATTTTGTTCAATGTAGAAAGGAAGCTTGTCTGGATCTGGTTAAAACAAACGATGATCTCCTGACAAACATTCAAAGTAAGGGAGCACTTGGGAAATAGTGATCACAAAGCAAATGCACATGGGGTATACTAAAACATATAATTTTAATAAGATCAGGGCAGGTTTACAACATATTGATTGGCATAAACTATTTATTGAAAAAAACACTGAGTATAATTGCAATATATTCATATATTAGAAAGGTGCATTGTACCGGAGGATTGGAGGAAGGTAGATATGGATCCTATATTCAAAAAAGGTTCAAAATCTTTGCTGGGAATTATAGACCTGTGAGCTTAATTTCTGTGAGTGAGAAAATATTTGTAGAGTTATTAAGGGATAATATTTAGGAATTCATTGAGAACATTGTTATTAGCAAAACTCAGCATGGTTTTATGAAACATAGGTCATGTCAAACTGACTTAATTGCATTCCACAAAGTAGTAAGTATAAGTATACATCAGAGTGTTGCAGTGAATGTGATCTACTTGGATTTTGCCAAGGCATTCAATATAGTTCCACATGGTTCAACACAATAGGTTAGTGTTCAAACTAAAAGAAATTGGTGTAGATGAAAATTATTTTTCTGGTGTAGAACATTGGCTTAAAGATAGAATACAGATAGTTGCCATTAATGGTACATTTTCAAGCTGGAGAAAAGTAGTAAATGGGATCCCTCAGGGTTCTATTTTGCGACCACTTTTATTTATCATATTTATAAATGATTTTGAAATAGGCATTGAAAGTCACATTTCAGTGTTTGCAAATCACACAAAACTCTGCAATCCAATGTGAGCAGAATATTATTTTGCTGCAGAGGGATTTGGATAGTTTGGTTTGACTGAGCACCAATGGGAGATGAAATTTAACATAGATTGATGCAAAGTTCTGCACTTCGGGGTAAAAAACGCAAAATCAACTTATACCCTAAACCATGGGTCGTCAACCTGGTCCCTACCGCCCACTAGTGGGCGTTTCAGGATTCCAGGTGGGTGGTAGGGATTTCAGCGGCTAAATCCTCTTTTTTTGAGGATTTATCCTTTTGGGGCGGGCGGGCGCAAGTGGCTATGCGGGCGCAAGATTTCAGTGACCGGCAGGAGGGAAGTGCTCCCTCCTGCCAGGCCACCTTATGGACCCCGGTATTGTGTGCGGCAGTGGTAAGATCAGCCGCGGCAGGGAGCTCTAACCTCTCTGCTCCCTCGCACGATTTTTTCTGATGCCACGGGAGCCGGAATATGACATCATATTCTAGCTCCCGGCATCAGAAGACAGCCCGCGAAGGAGCAGAGAGGTTAGAGCTCCCTCGCCCCCTCGGATTTGAACTCTGCCGCCCACTAAAGTGATGCCCCACTGGACCCGAGGGACAGATCCACACCAGTTCTCCAGGTAGGGAGGCTGGGTGGACATTTAATAATAATTTGTGTGTGTCTGTAAGTGTATGTGTGTGTGTGTCTGTAAGTGTATGTGTGTGTGTGTGTGTGTGTCTGTAAGTATATGTGTGTATGTGTGTGTGTGTCTGTAAGTGTGTGTGTGTGTCTGCAAGTGTATGTGTGAGTATCTGTAAGTGTATGTGTGAGTGTGTGTGTATGTGTTTCTCTGTGAGTGTGTGTGTCTGTACTTGTATGTGTGAGTGTTTGTCTGTGAGTGTGTGTCTGTAAGTGTATGTGTGTGTGTTTGTCTGTAAGTGTATGTAGCGGATGGCACTTGGCTGTCCTGAGAATTTCATGTATTTTAATGCATTCGTGTGAAAACAGCAAAGTTCTATGTATTTAATGTATTGTATTCGTCTGAATGTTAGGTAGTTTCATTCCCTTAGTTTGTTCGAATGAAACTACCGAACAGTCAGACCTCCCCGGTGTGAAGTGTGTCCTCAATTACCCATTGCAACATTGTTGCGAAGGGGTAATTGACAAGTTAAGTAGCCGTCCTTTGTTCTCCGGGGTGGCCGCCATTCGAAAAACGAACACGTGGCGGCGGCCATTTTAAAACTCCTGAACAGCAGTGTTTTGCCGTCGAGTGTCTGGAACTCAAATCGGACACTCGACTAGGCGAACACCGCTGAAACCTCCACAAGCCCGGTCTGTTCGGTTCCTAACTACCGAACGGCCCCTCGTTCGGTAGATAGAAAGAACCGAACGAGGGGATTCAGGCGAACCCTCCCTAGCCTCTATAGCTAGAGGTTTTCGTGCCATTTATTCCCTGACTCCAGGACCGACCGCAGGGCCCATTCACATGGAACCGCATTCGGCTGTTTCACCCAGTGCGGTCGGTCATTTTATTCCCTCCATAAATTTCCCGAACCCCTGGTCTGATCTGGGTGATTTTTGGATATGTTGTTCACCCAGATCAGGGCTACCAGGGGATGTATGATTTAAAGTGGTACCCCTAAGTTTAGGGGTACATCCAGAAACGGGGGGAATTGCTGTACTGGATAAGGGGATTATGATGCAGGCTGAGGGGAGGAGAGGTGTGGGAGGTTACCAGAACAGGATTGGCTACTGTACTAATGAATGAAAATCCCTCCCTTGCATGGGAGCAGGTTTTAAAAGGCCACTGTCTCAATAAAGCTTTAGTTCTGCTCCTGAAACTGTGTGTCGTCCAGTTATTGGGATTGCTGCTGGGATACTGCTGTGTTATTTTGCCTGCTGGAAACCTTGCCTGTGGATTTACAATTTACTTGTTCCTGAGCCTCACTTGGATTATAAGCGGAGATAACCTGGGGAATATTGCATCTCCGCTACATTGGTTGGCAGCGCTGGGATCCAGACTCACAGAGGAACAAGCATAAATGGAGTACGGATGGAGATTGATTTTGCCACGCTAAAACGCTCCACGCTAAAGGACCTCCTGGAGGCAAGGGGTATACAAGCCAGCAACAAGAAGAAAGCGGTACTCATTACTGAACTCATGGCAGAGTACCGAGTGGATGGCGATTCGGTTCCCGAACAGGGGGATTCGGGAGAAACACAAGAACAGATGGAGTTCCAGAGGCAGCTACAATTTAGGCTGTCTTTTTATGGGGAACACCCTCCAGCAGTGATTATTTCAAAGACTATGACAGAGGTCCAGGAATTCATCCTAAGGAAATGGACAACAGCAGCCCCAGAACACAGCTCTGCAGTAAATGTGCCACAAGAAGGTAAGCCAAAAATACCTTATCAAGCATTCAAAATGTATGTAGAGGCAGAGGAAGACATAGATGCATTCCTTCAGGATTTTGAAAGACTGTGTGCCTTGCATAGGATCAGTGCAGAAGATTGGGTTCCCATTTTGGCTGGGCATTAAACTGGGAGAGCAGCAGAAGCGTATCGTACTGTACCAGACGAGGAAATCCGGGACTACAGTAGAGTAAAAGAAATTATACTGGCCCGGTATGCCATAACACCAGAGGCATACCGAAGGCGGTTCAGGGAATTAAAGAAAGCCGAGAAAGACTCGCATGCTGAGTGGGCTTGTAGACTACAGCGGGCGGCCCTCGGATGGGTAAAAGCTAGCAAAGCACGGTCCATGGAGGACGTAATACAAATGTTGCTGATGGAACAATTTTATGAGGGGGTATCAACAGATGTCCAAGAATGGGTAAGGGACCGTAATCCTACATCCCTCACAGAGTCTGCTAGGAAAGCAGACGACTACCTGGATGCTCGCAGGGAACAAAAACCAGTAGCCCCAAAGATCACAGTAAAACCCCTTGGGGGGACAAACTACCCCACAGTACCACCACAACATCTACCACCACCACCACCTGCGGCACAACCACGATTTCGTCAGCCTAGCTCAGTGCAGTGTCATCAGTGCCAGAGGTGGGGACACTACAAGAGGGAGTGCCCTCAGCTGCGAGACCGATCTACCTGGATAAAGCCAGGGCCACCACCACCACCGAGAGCAGCCGCACACTACTACCAGGAGGAGACACCCACCGCCTATGGCTCCGCAGTCCCCGTCACTACAATAGAACAGTGGGAGATACTACATGAAGCCAACCCGCTACAAGCCAATGCAGATAATCGCTAACACCACAGGCAAACTGTATATCTGGAAGGAAAAGCGGTGCAGGGGCCATCATAACCCTGGTAAAAAGCCACTTGGTGTCTGAGAAGGCCAAAACCAAGAGTACGGTAGCCGTCAGGGGGAGCCGTCTACCAGCTGAATACCGCAAACGTACATTTGCATTGGGGAGCGGGGTCAGGAAATGTGGAGGTGGGGTTGATGCCCCAGTTACCCGCAGAGGTGGTACTGGGAAATGATTTGGGAAGGCTCACTTCTGCTTTTGAGCCCCAAACCCCAACCACGGAGGAAGCACATCAAGTGGTCACCAGGCAACAGGCCCGCACCAAGGATTACAACACACTGCCGGAGGTTCAGGTAAGAGAGCCTTCCCCTTCTTTAGACTGTGTACCCTGGGCTCCTCCTAACGAATTTGTGGCAGAGGTGATCACTGACCCTACCCTACAGGTATATAGAGATAAAGTCACCTCTGACCAACCTGGGGCGGAGGGCAGGGGCGGGCTGGGCCAGGGGTCAGGGAGGCAATTGCCCTCCAGGCCGCCTTACATCGTTTGAAAAACGGCCGCTGCAAGGCCTGGGCGCCAAGAGGAGGGGGGTTCCGCGCGGAGCAGGCCGATGGCCTGTCACAGGGAGCCCAGCAGGTTGCCAACTGGCCACCTAGGGCGCCCGGTAGCAAGGCAGAGTAGGCACCTGCTTGTCCCATATGGCAGGTGCCTACTCTGCCTCACTATACCGGAATGGAGTGTGGAAGGAGGCAGGCGGCGGCAAGGGAGCACTGCCTCTGCTGATGATCTTCCTGCTCCCTCGCGCGCCCTCTCTGGTGATGCCGGGAGCCGGAATATGACGTAATTCCGGCCCCGCATCACTAAACTGCACGAAGGAGCAGGAAGATCATCGAAAACACTGGACCCCGGGGAGAGGCCCCAGAGGACTTCTGAAGGTAGGAGCAACAAGAAATAAAATTAATTTGTGTGTGTGTGTCTGAAAGTAAGTGTGTGTGTGTGTGTGTGTCTGTCAGTAAGTGTGTGTGTCTGTCAGTAAGTGTGTGTGTCTGGAAGTGTGTGTGTGTGTGTGTCCGGAAGTGAGTGTGGGTGTCAGTGAGTGTGTGTCTGGAAGTGAGTGTGGGTGTCAGTGAGTGTGTGTCTGGAAGTGAGTGTGTGTGTCAGTGAGTGTGTGTGTGTCTGGAAGTGAGTGTGTGTGTGTGTCTGTCTGTCAGTAAGTGAGTGTGTGTCTTGAAGTGTGTGTGTGTCTGTCTATCAGTGAGTGTGTGTGTGTGTATCTGTCTATCAGTGAGTGTGTGTGTATCTGTCAGTGAGTGTGTGTGTGTCTGGAAGTGAGTGTGTGTCTGTCAGGGACACCCTTCTTTCCGCATGGGCATGCTGGGCAGTTGCCCGTGGCCCCTACCGCGCTGCCCAGCATGCCCAGCTGACAGGGGAGATCCTTTGATCTCCCCTGCCGGCCAATGGAAAGGTGGCCCTGTTTTCTGGCCGTGGGCCCCCTTGGGCCGGTGAGGGAGATCTCCCTTCGATCGGGGAGAGAGGTAGCTAGGAACCAGGGCTGCAAGAGAGGCTGACCTGTAAGGCAGATCGCTCCTCCCGCAAGCAGGCTGTGTGGAGCGGTGCCGCACATTACCATGGCAATGCTCCACACAGCATTCTGCGCGCAGGAGGACAGGAGACAGCCTGCAGCCAGACAAGCTGCAGGCTGTACAGAATTCACAACTGGACCACCACGGCTGTCTGTGTCCCAGTCTCTTTCACCAAAGGTAAGAAGAAGGGTGGGGGGACATAAAGATTTTATTTAATGTATAGTAGAATTAAAAAAAAAACCAAATATTTGCTATCTGCACACCTCAAACACACACACAGCACCCAACACACATATAGCACTCCACATGCATGCAGCACCACACTCACATAGCACTCCACACACACACACACACACACACACACAGCACCCCACATTCACATAGCGCTCCACACACACAGCACCACACACACACACCGCACCCTTACACACAAACACATACACTGCACCCCTCACTGCAGTGTGTGTATTCAGCAGTCTGTGTGTGTGTTCAGCGAACTGTGTATGTATTCAGCCGTCTGTGTGTATGTTTGTGTGTGTTTGTATTCAGCGGACTGTGTGTATGTATTCAGCACTCTCTATGTGTACTCAGCAGTCTGTCTGTGTGTGTAGTCAGCAGTCTGTGTGTGTGTGTCTATTCATCAGTCTGTATGCGTGTATTCAGCAGTCGCCGTGTGTATGTATTCAGCAGTCGGTGTGTAACTGTATTCAGCAGTCGGTGTGTGACTGTATTCAGCAGGCTCCCCCTTGTGGCTCCGGTGCTCAGTTAGTGAGTCAGAGCACAGGCTCAGAGATTCTCAGCCTGCGCTCTAGCAACATTGAAAGTCTGAGCCGCAAAGAAGTGGGTATGGCAAAGAGCTACTGATTAGCACAACATCAATATCCGTTATAAAAACAGGAAAAGGTGGGCATGGATGGTGAGCTGATTCGGGGGTGCAATGGGCCACTTGACTGGATTTGCCCCCCCAGGCCTGAGGCTGCCAGCCCTCCCCTGGCGGAGGGGGAAAGATTTGTATGGGAGGGACAGCTGTTATACAGGGAGTCAGATAAGCAGGTAGCTGGGTCAGACCCGACTGTTTTAAGGCAGTTAGTCGTACCACAGAGGTACCGAGCCGAATTGCTCCCGATAGCTCACGATATTCCGCTATCTGGGCATTTGGGGATCAGTCGTACCCGATAACGACTGACCCAAAGTTTATTTTGGCCAGGAGTTAGCCAGGAGGTACATAAATATTGTTGTACCTGCGATACGTGCCAGAGGGTAGGGAAGAGGGGAGACCGGCGGAAGGCGAAGTTGCATCCGCTACCTATAATTTCACAGAATAGCGGTAGAATAAAACTATTTCACAGAATAGCGGTAGATATCATAGGCCCCCTTCAGAAACCTAGCCCTTCGGGCAAGAAATATATTTTAACTGTTGTGGATTACGCCACCCGATATCCAGAGGTGGTGGCCATGACAAATATACACACCGAAACCGTGGCCGAGGCCCTGATGCAGATTTTCTCCCGGATGGGGTTACCAAGGGAGATCATCTCGGATCAGGGTACTCAATTTACCGCAGAGGTCACTCAGCAACTCTGGAGATTTTGTGACGTTAAACCGATCATTAGTGCCCCATACCATCCCCAGACCAATGGACTCTGTGAACTGTTCAATGGTACATTAAAACAAATGCTCCAAACCTTCGCCGAGACCCACAGGGACTGGGAGCGATTTCTGCCTCACCTCCTCTTTGCTTACCGGGAGGTGCCGCAGGAGTCCACCAGGTTTTCCCCATTTGAGCTGTTATTTGGGAGGAGAGTAAGAGGGCCCCTAGACCTTATTAGAGAACATTGGGAGGGAGACCGGCTGGAGGCCCTAAGACAGTAAAGGAAAACCTTCAGGCGGCTCAGACGCACCAACGCACCTTGTATGATCGGGGCGCCAGGGACCGTAGCTTCCAGGTTGGGCAGAAAGTTTTAATTTTAAAACCTGTCCGACATGATAAGCTACAGGCCGCCTGGCAAGAACCTTATAAAATGGTGGAACAGAGATGTGACACCACTTATATAATTGGCCCCTGCACCGGAACTGGAGGGTGACGCATGCTCCATGTGAACATGATGAAGCCCTACCAGGAACGCTCAGAGGAGGTGACAGCTATTTGTGCACCCAACTCCGAAGAGTTTGACAGCCTTCCCCTCCTAGATCTGCTGGAAGACGGTAGGCTGTCGGGGGATTTAGGAGAAGTTGTGCTGGGAGATCGTCTGAGCTACAGGAGCGTACCGAGGTACAACAGCTGTTGAGAGAGAA